TTTGAGAAAATCAACACAATATTCAGACCTTTATGCAAACTAACCAAAAGGCAGAGAGAGAATATCCAAATTAATAAAATCAGAAATGAAAAGGGGGACATAACAACAGACATGGAGGAAATACAGAGAATCATCAGGTCATATTTTGAAAACCTGTACTCTACAAAATTGAAAAACTTATCACAACAACAGAAAGGAAGATAGAGCATCCAGCTATCTGTACATTCTGTTTCTGCCATAGCTTGATTTCCTGCTGTTACCTCAGTTTGTTTTCTTCTCACTAACCCTGACCCTGTCCACATCAGGGTTACCTGAAAGCCTGTCTTTGTATATCATTCCATTTTCTCTTTATCATTTGTGACATATTGAGACTTATATTATCACATTGATTCTGTCCTCCCATCAGCTTCTCTGTTAATTATAAGATGGATATTTATGAATCAGGAGACAGTATATAGTAAGAATTTAAAGACCTAAATCCATAACTTATGGTCAAAAGCTTACCTGAAGTTAAAACTCTACCTATACATAAAAGGGATGTTAGATCAAGCAGATGTTCTGTGGTGAATCTCTGATGTCTTATGACAGGGCACATAAGGGCCACAGCCACCAAGCTGAATGTGTATTGGTTGCAAGTGTGTGGGGAGCACTGTGGATCATAGCACTGTAAATCATAGCACTGAAATAAGTGCCTGAGTCTGTGGTCTGAGAGCAGGAAATTTACAAAGAGTTGTGGCGTTCCTGAGTAATTGTTGTGGACCTCAGTCTTTCACTCTGGTTTGGTCCAGAAAAATTGTAAAACAGGGTGATGAGGTGTCCCCCAGGACGATGGTAAAACCACTGCATTCAGTTTGCAGAGATGGAAAAGTTGTTCTGCAACTCTCTCTGCACTCTCTCCCTCCTGCGGCACCAAGGACACAGGACTCTGCTTCACTTGCTGCCTTTTCACCCCTGATGAGAAACACAGAAAGAGACACAGATGGAGGACACTGAGTATTGATGGATCCCTAAATTCGTTCCCTTGTCTTTTAAGAAGGTGAGAGCTCTGCAGGATCCCTACACTCTTTTTCCACCCCTCCTTGTGGAAGAAAATCCTCTCTGTTCCTTGAATGTGGAGAGCCACATTCACAGCAAATCTGGGTGTACAGTAGCCCCAGCAGAGAGCACAGCATCCTCTTCTTGGTGTTTGTCTGAATACGAGAGACAGAAGCAAGTAACCAACCCTTAACCTTTGATGTCAGAATGACTGTTGAAGTGTCTCTCCTTCTGCAACCAGACAGCTCCACCCAGGAACCCTGCCTGGAATACTACTGAGATCCCTTCCAGCCTTCTGAGTCTGAAATTGCTCCCAAACCATACCTGGCTGAGAGTCTGGGTGGAGCACAGTGTGGGAGCATTTTCAGATGACCCTGAAGTTGAATGGATTTAGGGATCCTGGATGCATGAATGAACCAGCCCTGCCCAAGGAGAACAATCCTCAGCTGCACACAGAGCCTGGCATACTCAGAGAAACAATAGTTAAAGTTATAACTCAGAAAAAGGTACATGATCTGACTAAAGTTCCTTTACTGTGGCCTGAGAGATAATTCAGCAGATCAGGGTCCTTGTCCTTCCAGGAACCCTTAATTTCCTTCCCAGTAGCCACATCAGTTGGTTCACAACTCCCTGTAACTTCAGCTCCAGGGTACCTGTTATTTTCTTCTATTTTCCTAAGAACCTGTACAAAATACCACATATTTTCACAATCCCCTCTCATGCTCATAAAAAACACTAACAAGAATTTACCCATGAAATAGTTTGAGTAAAATTACTGCAGTAGAAAAAGAAAATGAACAGGAGCATAAGATAGGGTAAGTATAAACGCAATGATATTAATAATGATAGGGTAAGTATAAATGCAGTGGTTCTAATAATGATAGGGTAAGTATAAATGCAATGGTTTTAATGTTTTAGGATGCATTTTAAAATAGGGATACTCCTGCTCCATTCAAGGTTTGTTCAAAATGTTAATTTAAAAATAAGGATGCATAAGAAGGAAGTGGACTGAGGAAAGATAATGCAGGAGTGCTGCATCCTGAATGACAGGACAGCAGAGTTGCTGTGCTTTTGGATATGGTGAATGCAGGGGACAAAGAACTGTGCATTAATAACAATAGAGAATTACATTTTAAGAATTTCACCGTAAAATTGACAACTTTAAAAATGAGATTAGTAATGAAAATAAAACATGCAATCTCCTTAAAAGCAACTTACCATAAACCTTACACCATCTCAGTTTATCTCAACAGTATTAGAGCAAGTAATATCTCCCACTCTCATAGGATACATTGGGTGATTTTGACTGAGGTAGAAAATGCTGTCCCAGAAAAGAGCTGTTTCTCTCTGAACAGGAACCCTGTTTTGGGTTGGGGTCCACACACACTGATGCTGCAGGAGTTTGCAGATCCCAGTTGGTGCTCCAGCTTGATGACTGCATCTGTGCATCTGCAGCAGCTGCTCTGTAGCTGAGGGACGGCTACACATCTGTTGTCCCTCATAATTCTACTGAAGGAGAAAACATCTTTTCTTTGTAAAACAAGAAACAAGGAAATGGAGCCTGAGATCTATCTCATAAGAATGAAACATTTCCCAAGAATTCACTTTTTCTGTTTTGTTGCCTTCATGGAACATGCCAACTCCCTCTAGGTGTCTGAACCTGGGACCCTGGTCTCTTACTCTGAAGCCTCAAGTGGTTTGTATCTAGTTCTCTACCTGTGACTCAGAGCAGAGAAACTCCTATATCCCTCAGTCCCATTGTCAGGCGTTCTAGAAGTTGTGTGTTTTCACCCTTCCCACAGTCAGTCTGAAGACACTTTGTGGCTGAGACAGACTGGCTTCCTAATGTGAGGTCCACGAGGTGATGGAGACCCAGGTGAGGGTGATGCACATGCAGGAAAGGACCCTGAGGGACAATCTTCACTTTGAAGAACTCAGATCAAATTCAACATAATCAAACTAATGAGAGACATAGTTACCAGTGCAATCCTTTTTCTTTTTCTTATAAAATAGAGCATAATTCAGAACTGTCACCTGCCACTTCTAGGTTTTTCTCACAGAAAGAAACTATGCATGCATGGACACCAGGGTTCCTCAGTTATGAGCATTGCCTTCCAATTCCACTATGACAATTCTATTCTCCTCTCATCATCCCCCTCCCTCTCTTTCTCTCTTTCTCTTTCTCTGAGGTATGTGTGTGTGGTGGGAGAAAAGTGAAGTGTTAATTCACCATACAGGTTATAGTCCATCATCAAGGGAAGCCATCACAAGATTCCAAGGCAGGGGCTTAAAACCACAGAGGAACACTGCTCACTGATCAGCTCAGCTAGCTTTCCTCTGTGGCCCAGGCTCACATGCCTAGGGATGGTGCTATCTATTCTCAGAGGGCCAATCACTCTTAAACAATCTAGTTAATTGTTTCTATTAACAATCAAGAAAATGCCAATGAAACATGCCTGTAAGTCAGTCTTATGGAGTCAATTTTTAAACAATATGTCAAGCAGACAACAAAGATTAGCCACAACAGCAAGCCCTATAGTAGAAAACATAAACCTCTGCTTACTGCTTAGAAAACTGAGCTTCCATAGAATTCTATGCCCAATGTGAAATTTCAATTGTTGGAACAATCATTTTAAAGGACTTATGTCAGGAAATAGTACTGTACTTAAAACAATGAGTGACAATAAGCCCAAGACACAAAGGACAAGTTAATAAATTTGATTTCTTAAATCCCCTTATGTATCCTATAGGGTGGACATGGGGGTGACTATTGGCTGCCAGCAAATTTGACCATTCCTCCAGTGTTTTGGTGGGAGACTTCCCATCAGAAGCCCTACTCAATACAGAGACTAGGTCACAAATACAAACCTGAATCATCAACTGTATGCCAGTGCTTATGTTCTTAAGAAATAGAAGAGTCTAATCTGCTTGATAATTTGGGAAAGTCTATATCACTTTTTTAGAGTCATAGATGTGGCAAGTTTCTGAAGCAGCACCAAGCACATTGTGTAATGCCATTATTCTTGCTGACACACTGCAGAGCTCAGACATCACGTTCATCATGATAGTGTCAGTGGTGAGCTCCGGAGTAGGCTTTGACTCTAGGGTATGATTTGCTTCCTGATGTTGTTGCCTCAAATCCAGCTTCTCTGACCATCAGAGAAACTTCAAATCCTAATAAACATGACTACATCTGGGATTAACAAAAAAACACCAAATAGAGGGCACACCTGTGGGCCATTTCTGTTTAATTTGAAGTAGGAAGAATTGCTTTAGTTTTGATCTTTGAGATACTAAATCACACCTTTAATTCATATGTTTAATCCAGATTCAATCTGGAGCACACCTTCTCTTGGAAGCCTATATAAGGACAGGAAAGGAAGAAACTTTTACTCTTTTTCTGCTTGCTCTAATCTTGTTTGTACCGCCATTCCTTCCCTGGAAGAGTCTATTTCCTTTAGCTTCCAGGATATACTGCAGACAGCTGAGCCATCCAGTTTTCTGATCAGGAAAAACTCCTGGATTCCTGGACTTTCCTTTCATAGTCAGTCATTATTGGATTAGCTAGAGCACAGTCTGTATGTCATTCTAACAAAACCCCTTTTTTAGAGATTTAGTTTCTAACTTGCTACTTTAAAGAGCATTGACTAATACAGCCAGCATGTAGAGAGAACAGTATAGACCAGTTTGGGTCTTATAACAGTCTAAGCTCACTTGCAAATTACCAATGGCCACATTTGCATAACCTTAACCTTCCCAAGGTGCTTGTTCACTTCAAAAGAATCAACCCTCATCTGCCATATCATCCTGACCTAATTGCTTGGCATGCTTTATTTCTCATATTATTGAGTATGGAGGTTCAGGAGGGAAACAGCCATTCTAAAGCAGTGCTTATAATGTGAGCATTCAATTCCTCATGAGTGAAGGAGCATAAAGTTTCTAGTTAAACCAAGAGAACTCTCTACCTTTGAAAGGAGGTGGTGATGAATGGCTTCCTCTGTGTCACAGGAGAGAATCCTGTAAAAGCAACCTCAGCTTCTGGTCAGTATGGGGAGAACTTATTAGCAAGGATGAAAAGACTGTGTCCTGAAAGACTGTGTCCTGTGACATCAGCAGTCCCTTCTCCAAAAATTCTATTGTATCCTAGAGAGCTCTGAGCACCCTCTGTGATGTCACTAGCATTATAGCAACACCAGTTGTCCTTAGGACATTCATTTAACATATTTAAGGTTCACCTATAGACATGTTATCAAGATTGAGGAGACTACTTGAGATAATGGACAACATGGAGAGACCAGAGTGAGACAGAAGGAAGCAAGCCCTAGGTCTCACTGAAAAATATGGAGAATTAAATGGTCCTTGAGAAGACGCAGTGAGTTCAAGGAAGGGACTAGAGAACGTTCTGGATGTGATGGCCTTGGGCCTTCCAGGGCTAGGGTTCAGGAACTGGAGGTTTCTGGGATGTAATAGGCATATATTGCTTCTCTATGTTTCTAAAGGGCTGACCCCACATCAAGGATTCACGATGGGCTGACCCCACATCAAGGATTCATGATGGTTAGTTTGAGAGTCAGGAACTGACCAGGCTGTAACCTTTGTGCTTGGGACCCTCTGCTTTCCCTCTAAGTAGGAAGGACACACAGAGGAATCAATCAGATTTCTATCCCATCACCGCACTTTGCTCCCACTGGTGTGCTGTAGAGTGTTTTTCAATAGTAATTGGGAAAGGGGAGAACCCTGACAAAGCCTAAGCTGGTTGTTCTCTACATCACAACCATTGTCAGAGTAGATGCACCAAGTGCTGCTGTCTTCCAGTGACCCCTAAGGTTTCTGACTTCCCAGCTGTGGGTGAAACATTTGTCTCCAGTTCAGCATGAGAGCTATTAGAGCCAGTGGACCAAGGCAGAGGCTGTCCCCTTCCTGCCTGCTCTAGGTATCTTGGGCTGTCAATGAAATTGGCCTTGTAAATCTGGTGACAATGCTCTGTCCCTGGATGGCTTCTCCATTAAAATGAGAGTCTGAAGCATCAACAAGTGATTTAGCCAGTCCTACACTACCTGAGTGATTGTGACAGTAGCAATTATCTCTAGGATTCTGGAAGCACATGACTGCAGACTCTGAAGTCAAGGTACATCCTCGGTAACTCTAAATAAGCCTTAGAAGGATGCCCCTTGTGTCATCTTCTGCAGGGAGACAGGTAACTTCTAAGAGACGTGCACCTCCCTGTAGAAAGAAGGGAGAACTGACAGTCACAGAGGGGCAGAGTCAAGTCTATTCCGTCAGAACCTGATAGGGCAAAGTTTCATCATTCGATCACTTCCTGAGCATCCTTCAGTGTATCAGGTTTGACTGAGATGAGGTTGTGTGTGGAACAGGTGCTGTCTTTTGACTTCTAGAATTGGGAATTACTGAGATACACAACTTTGTCTAACATGGTTGTCAGGGTGATACAATATCTGAAGGGACACAGTTTGACCCACAACACTCATTAGGTCTGGGGTCCACCCAGTACACATCTGACGTCACACTCAAGAATTCTGGTGATTTTTCAATCCAAGTTGAACATGGTGCTGGCTCTTTATTTCAGGACTGCCAGTAACTCAAAAGTGTGAAATGGGGCTCAGGGAAAAGTCATTGGAAAAGGACCCCAATTATTTCTCCTCTTGTATCTTTTGCCTGCTCTTATCATGCCCCGATGAACATTGTAATTTAAACTGGCTGTGTCCTCCTTCCTAAGGGCATGTGAATTGTCACAGGTGACTCCAGATAAGAATTTTGGCTTTTGTGTAGCTTTATGTGAAGCACCATAGCAGTGACACACTACATATCACACCATGACTGTGAGAAATGTGATGTCTAGGAAATGCCTTTGTATATCTGTTTGTGGCCTTTCAACTGCCATTCCCCTTTCTTGATTGCAGAAATGAAACATCACACTGATCTTGTGTTGAGGGCTCACCTGGGGTGCTCTGATTTTTAGTATTGCCAGTCTGACGTGTCAAAAGTTGATCACATATGTCCTACCTTATGAATACTGGAATGTATTCTGCTAAACTTTTGAGGAAATTTTCATCAAAGATAAGACTATGGGTCTTATCTTTGTTCTGACAGGACACTCACAATCTTCCATCACACTCACATATTGTAAAACCCTTGTGAATCCTTTATAATTGTGCTCGTTGCCTTCAGGGGACTGAACCTTCCTTCCCAGCATCCTAACTTCATTACCTAGAAAACTTTATTTCTCCGGTTATTGATTATAAATCTCAAGAAGGGAATGAGTCACTTTTTGGAGAGCTGTTTGGAAGTGAGTCTTCACTCTCCAATAAAAAAGTTAGTGAATATATTCTAATGACACGAACAGAGAACTCTGGCTTTGTGATGAAGAGGTGATGAAAATCTTATGTTGTGTTTCTGGGAAAGGGAGTATGGTTTCTAGTGAATTGTGGCAGAGCTAGTAAATATGCAGTTGATGGATGCTGCTGTGACACAATTATTTCCTTCCCCAGACGACATTCTATTGCCTTCTTGGGGGCACTTGGTATTTCCCCTGTGATGTCAACATTGTTCTTACAACATCAAACAATTGTGGACTATTCTTTCAGTGCCCATAGACATGTTGGCAAGTCTGAGAAGGCTGCTTGGAAGAGAGAAATGAGAGCATGGGAGAGCAGAAAGCGGCAGAAAGAAGCTAGCTTTCAGGCTCAGTGTAAAACATGGAGAAATAAATGGCTCTGGGTAAGGCCTAGTGAGTTCAGGGAGCGCGATGGGGAGGTTTCTAGAGGAGGTGGAGCTTGAGCTGGGCCTTCAGGAATTGGGCCTTGGAATCCAGGAGATTCTGGGAAGCAATGAGATTATTGTGCTTCTCAATGTACCCAAAGCATATGCCCAGAGTAAATGTTTTCTCATGGTTAATTTTTGGAGAGTTGTGAACTGTCAATCCAGTAGCTTCTTTTCTTGAAGATCCTTAATCTCATTCTGAGTGGAAAAGAAGGCTAGCAGGAGCAAAGAAATGACTATTTAAGTGTCCTCAGGATAGGGTGGATTTGTCTAGTTTCCATGGGAATCTGATGCAAATAAGAAGGGAGAGAAACTCCCCTGGCCATTCACGAAAGTCTCAGACATTCAGATGCTTTGGTCCTAGCACATATAATCAGGATTTAGTGCTGCTAAGCTCTAGGGACGAAAGGACTTGCCAGCCTCACATCAGATATGAGGTGACACTGTCCTCTAAATCTCCATAGATGGAGTCAGAGAACTGCATTAGAGAGTGAGCAGATGTCTAGCCATAGTGGTTGAGGACAGAGACATAGTTCATACACACCAGTTTCAGGATAGCTGCCGTGCTCTTCAGGGACTTCCCTGAGTCTCAGCATTTCTTCTTCCTCAGGTGTCTTCTTGGGACTCAGCATGGACTTTCTTGGCCCTGTGCAACTCAAGTTACAAGCTTACTTGTCATTATCTACCTGCAGGAACTATTGGGGAGGCATCACCCCAACTCTCCATCTTCATCAAGCAATTGCAAAAAAAAGGTAGAGAGTTATACTCAGTTACAGAGTATAACAGAGTATAACTTGAGTAAATTGAGTTGTGTGGACTGCTGGCAAGTTGTCATTACAAGGATTTGAATAACAGGCAGCCATTATGTCCAGTTCTCTCCTGTGCATCATGACCCCACAGTGTTAAGCCAAGCTTTCCTAAGGAATAAGAAACCAAACTGCAGAGTGTCCTTGTGTCTAAAATAATTTTCCTGAGTGCATTAGGGAGGCAGAACTTGAAATCTGGGTAGCTGAGAGATGAAGAAACTGGCTATTCTGCTTCCACAGCAGAGTCTGTGATCTGAACCACAGTCTGGGGATAGGGACAGTAGTCCTGGAGCCCTCTAAGTGCATTAAGAGAAGCGTTGGGAGGTGTTAACTTGTGAGACATTCTAGGTTCTGTGAGTCTGAGGTGAGTCTTTGCACCTAACCAGCCGATGATTGTGTGCTGACAGCTCTTGGCAGTAGCGAGACAGGCCTGGTCCCATTCATCCATGTCAGTGTGTCACTGGAAGACCTGGAGCCCATTACTCCTCCTCTCTGGTCTTATTCTCTGTGCTCTGAAACAATGCAACCACCCTGAAATTCATGGCAGTCTGATTGTATGATGTGTTGGGGGACAGAGAGGGCATCTCGGTGTGTGTGTACTCCTGGGAGCCTGGGGTCTGTTGCAGGGCCTGAGGTTTTGCCATTCTCACAGTTTCCAGGAAATGCTAGTACTGAGGCCAGTGATCTTGACTTTGAGCATCACACCTCTTGGCAACTCTACTCAATTTGGAGGAACTTGGAATCCCCTGTGGAGTTTATAAATTCACCCTGAATTTGGGTCTCCTCCTTGGAAATAGTGGTTGTGTGCTCTGGTCCTCTGTGTAGCAATATGCACCTAGAGATGGGAATTCCTGTACTGAAGACAGGAGAAATGTCATCATAGCTTCCTGGTGGACCCAGATATGTGGCACAGACTCTTGGGGCATTCTTAGAGAGCTAATCTATAGCTCCAAGCCCAATGAGGTTGCTCATCAAACCTAAATATCTTCTTTTGCAACCCCTGTCTATTTTGAACTGGAGACAGGATAGTAAGCTGAGGCAGTCTAGGACACAGCCTGATTTCTTATGATCCTTGAGTCTTGTGTTCATGGGATTCTTTTCTCCTGGGGTCATGCCTTACCATAGGCTGAATTCTCTTGAGATGCAGAAAAAAAGGAGCATAAGCAGATGATATCATACTTGCAGAAATGACCCATGACGATCAGTGATGCCTTGAACTAGTGTAAGCAGCTGAGGAATCGGAACAAAACCTATTGGTAAGTGCCTGAGTTAGTTTGGATCAGATTGATTCTTCCCTCCTTATCTCTGACTCAAAGCAAGGGCTCTTGTTCTAGCCTGTCTGTCTCTTAGCAAGCAGCCTGCCCTGTGGCACTTGCCCTTGTGCTTCTTGAACTCAGTTTTGCTAAGTGTAGAAAGACACTGAGCCCCTCCCAGCAATGTCCTACACAGGATCCCCTAGGTAGAAAAGTGTCTTGCACCATGAAGGG